CTCATAGTATATTTTCCTGTGTATGAAACTAAAGCGAGGTTTTGTTGCCTTTTCAAGGTTTTAAACTTGGAACTTAGGTGTCTCTACTTCAGAAGTAGAATGACCAGGCCTTTTAGAGCAAGTTCTTAGCTGCTAATTTTCCAGAGAATTGTCAACAAATTTGAAATTTAGTATTCTAATCTAGGGAATGTAGGAGGGAGACTGAAGCTAGAGAAAAAGCAAGGGGAGAGTTACAATGAGTAGGAACATGTAACCTTGTTAGAGAAATGAGAAATAAATACGTGAAAGGTCAGCAAGTGGTTTAAAATGTTTTAAAATTGTATAAGAGATTTGTAAATAAATTATTTAGACAATTACTGTCATTGATCCTTAGAGGAAAGAGAGTACTTTTAGCTGGAGTTGAGGGCACGGGGTGGGTGGAGTAGGGTGGTGCCCTAAAGCATGGATGGGATTTAGGGAATTAAGCTACCTTTTTCCTCACACGGAAAACCACCTCCATGAAGTACACTCTTTATTAATAAGCAGAGGCAGTCAGTCCTACCTTTCTACCAAAGCTTACAGGCTACTCTGTTATAGATACTTCCTATTTGAAAAATCAAAATTCCAGGAAACCCATACTCTTTAGTTCCTTTCTACATTAAAACAATAGAAAAATATACAAATAGTAATTCATGGAAGGGGATATATCAGGTTTTGTGTTAAAGTAGTAACTCAGAATTGTTCTTGTGCCAAAATTTCCATTTATTGGTTTACAAACAGCTGTTCATCTACAATGAGAAAAGCATTATTTATTCATGCATCGAACAGATATTTGTTGAACATCCCTTATGTCGTGGGTAGTATGCTAGGTGCTAGAGAGAAAATAGTACAATCAGATACAGTCCCAACCTTTATGGAACATGTAGTCTTTTGGTAGAATGAGATATTAAACAGTTATTCACCCAGATAAATAATTGTGATTAGTGCTACATATAGAGTACAGGGTTTTAATCTAGTCTGGTAGATCAGAGAATCTTTTCAGGGAAAGAGACATTTAAACTAAAGATTAAATCAGAATTAGCAGAGCAGCGCTTGGGGGGAAAACATTTTAGGAAGAGGAACACATGTAAAGCTTTTGAGGCAGGAAAGAAACTGTCCTTTCAGGGGACTCAGAGGCCAGGGTGGCTGAGCCCAGTGAGCAGGAGAGTAACTCACGTGGTTGAAGGTAAGATTATATAGGACTTTCAAGCAATTACTTTAGCAGGCTCTGGAAGGGAGTTTAGTTGGGAGTCTAATGCAGTCAGGGAAGAGAAAATGGTAGCATGGATTAGGATTTGGCAGAGAGATGAGAAATGAATAGATTTGCAAGTTACTTGGAATGTAGAATCAGAAGTTATAATTGATTAGATACAGGCCTTATATCTGCAGTATTGTTTGTCTGATCCTTTTAAAAGAAATGCTTTCATAAAACACTATTTTTTTATGTAGCCTGTAGTCCTATATGGATTATGCTTTGTTTAGCCTTATTCTTTCTTGTGGCCCAGCTATGTAATCCTTTGATTAAATAGACATCTATGACCATCCTTCTGCTAATTGTTAATAAGATGGTTTTTCCAAATGTGTAATGCATCTGGTAGCTGTTTTCCTCCTTTCTCCTAATAGTGAAATTTGAATCAGGTCCCCTTTGCACATTGTTCTTTTGTCTGTTCCAAAAATAGAGCAATAAGACTGAATTGACTTTAAGGAATAAGTTTCGTAAGATTGTTTTGTTTTTGCTTTTTCCTTTTCAGTTTCAATTGCAGGCATAATACCTTTGAAATGTTACTTTTTTCTTCAGTAAACATAGTTGCTATTTTATTGTTGAAATATTTATATATAAATTTTCAGTCTTCTAGAACATCTTAAAGACAGTTTTCTCCTGTCTTACGAATATTATGAATATATATATTTTGAATAATACTCTTTTTAGGCTTTCTGTTTTATTCTTACATTTTTCAACATTTCACTGTTGGGTACTTAGCGTTTCTAGGGGGCACTTTGTCTTATGCAGTTGATTTCCTTGTAATTTCTTCTTTAATTCCTTACCATAGCACAACTTAAAAAGAAAACTTTTTAGATGAAAGGCAAGCATTCTCTTATTTTAATGACAGTCATTACAAATAGTGCAAAGATGAAAGTTCTTGAGTTATGCCTTGATGGTGTGTGATCTCAGAAATTTCTTGCATATGATTATGCTTTAAAATATTTACTACTTGTAGTTAGCACTCAACCAGAGTGAACATTTCTTTTATATGGATATTTTTTAAAAAAATCAAAGCAATAGTTAATGTACTTGAAAACCTTAGTAGTTGTTCTGTTGAATATATTACTGTTTTATGCCCTATATTTCATTTTATAATTATCTTCCTGAAATTTTCTTAAGTGCTTGGTGATAAAGTCTAAGTATAGTTTAAGACAAACAAAAATGAGAGAACTCAAAACATAAAGGTTGTTTTCATTTTGAGTATCATCTTCTGCAGTTTGTATTGTGACCCTTGATTATCAAATAAAACAGTAACAGGGCTGCAGCCAGGCCTGTTGCCATGAGTGTGCATCCTTGAAAACTAGGGTCTTAGTGCTTATCTTTACTTAAAAAAAGGAATTCATACCTTTAGGGCCTCTCTCTGTCTTTAGTAAATCCTGTGGTCATTGACATCCAGGATATTCTGCTGGAAGTTGGCAGCAACTTAGCATGTTATCTAAATGGTAGCATGATCAGGAGAGAATGTTTGATTTAATTACCCTTTTGGTGAAGTGCTGCCTCAACACGTTTAAAAAACCATATAATTTAGAAATAGTTTTAATGCCATTTCTATTTTTTCAAATCTAGTTCTATTAAAACATTTTTTATGTTGACAGTTTTCAAAGCCATAGAAAAATTGGAGGATGAACTTTATACCTTTCACCTGTATTTACTGACTGTTAACATCTTGACACACTTGCATGTTCGCGCACGCACACACTTATTTCACTTAAGTTATTTGCAGGTAGACTGCAAACGTCATGGCACTTCGTCCTTAAATACTTCAGCATGTATCTCCTCAAGAACAAGGACAGCCTCCTACATATTCACAGCACCATTATATTTCCTAAAAACATCAACAATAATTTAGCAACATTATCTGAAATGGGTCCATAATTCAAGTTTCTCTAATATCCCCTAGATGTCCTTTATAACCGTTTGTTTGTTTTTTATCCAGGATCCAATCAAAGTTCATGTATTTGGTTATTGTGTTTCTTTAGACTCCCCCAATCTAGGACAGTTCTACTGCCTCCCTTGTTCTTTATGACATTGAAATCCTTGTAGAGTCTAAGCCAGTGGTCTGTAGGATCATCCACATTCTGTATTCATTTGTTTCTTAATAATTAGATTCAGGTCAAACATTTCTGGGAGGAACGCAGTGATATTTTGTAATCTCCCACTGCATTACGCCAGGAGGCACATAATGGCAGGCCAGCCTGATAATAACCACTTGGTGAGAATGGTCCCCATAAGCACATTTTCTCCTTTGTAACTAATACTAGTCTTTGGTGTGATACTTTGAGAACATTTGAATATCTTCTTTCCTCAAAACGTTTCACCCATTAGTGATCTCTGCTTGAATCAGTTATTACATCGATGGTTACAATGATGATTTTTCTTATTTTGTTAATTAGATATCATTCTTCTATCAAGAAGATCTTTCCCCATTTCTCTCTCTTTTCATCATGAAGTATTATTATAGATAACTGGATTTTTAAAAATTCACTATGTTATAGTCCATTACAGTCATTATTCCTTTTGATGGTTTTTTACTGAAGTGTTACATACATCCGAAAAGTGTGTAACTCTTGTGTATAGTGTGATGAATTATCACAAAGTGATCACTCCTGTATAATGGGTACTCTGTACATAAATGGAAAGTACACAGTATATATGGTGTGTCTGGTTTACATCACTCAGCATGGTATTTTGGTCAGATTTATCCATATTTTGCATTTGGTCACTTAAATTGCTATGTAGTATTCCAGTGTATGAATCTACCATAGTTTATTTACCCATTGTACTTTTTTTTTTTTTTTTAAGCTGAGCCATCCTGCTATCTATTGGCAGCTTAGTGGCAGCTCAGCTTGGGCCAGGCATCGAACCACTGTTGCTCAGAGCTCAAACTCTTGAGTGAGCTCTTAACCAACTGAGCCACTCGGCCCGCCCACCCATTGTACTTTTAATGGATATCTGGTTTGTGTCAAGTTTTTGACTATTTTAAGTAAAGCTGCTCCTATTTATATCTTTTGGGATCAGTAGTTGGTCATAGGATTGCCTGTGGGAAAGGATTTTGACAGAGATAACTTGTGATTTCTTTACCCAGACAAAGCCAGGAGTGCTGTTTTCAGGTACCAGAGTACTCTCTCAGCCTCACAAAATATTAAGAGCATAGCTTTGGATTTTATTGGTATAAATGTTAATATATTATTCACTATTGTACAGTACCAGATCTGTGTACCACTTATTATCAAGGCAGCCCTTATTCACACAATCCAAAAGGGAATACTATTTACTCTGTCTACTTGAAAAGTACAAATTTTTATGTTTCATTGGATATAGAAATGTTTATCAACTGATATGTAAATATAAATGGAGTATAACCACTTAGAAAATTCTCTTGGATTATGGAGTTTTATTAAGCAGTTGTAAACTTCGTCATATCTTTGATCTTAGAAAACCTTATAAATTTTGTACCTCATATAACTAAATGAAGAGAAATTGTTTATTTAAACACATACATGCATAGATAGTTGGAACTCACTTTTTGTAAATTGTGGGACTTGTAGTCAACTTTATGTAGACATGTACAGCACTGCTGCAGACTAAAATTTAAAACCGTGTAAAAGCTTTTCTGTGGAAGAAAGAAGTGGGAAAGCAAAGGCAACAAAGCAAAAGAAACTTCTATTTATACTTTTACATATGTTCACTGATTTTTACATTTGTTTCTTTTTTCCAGTAGTGGCTACAGAGGAAGTAGTTACTGCAGAATCTGTGGATGGTGCAATTCAACAAGTAGTTAGTTCAGGGGGTCAGCAAGTCATCACAATAGTTACAGATGGAATTCAGCTTGGAAATTTGCACTCCATTCCAACCAGTGGAATAGGTCAGCCCATCATTGTTACCATGCCAGATGGACAGCAAGGTTGGTAGTTGGCATTTACATAAAGTTTGTGTTTATTCTCAATTCGTGGGAAATCATGATATGTTTTTCAAAGCATTTATTTTTGCCTTAAATTATATGCTTGTTTTCTCTGAGTGTATACCAGATGGAAAGAGGAATTGGCTCCAAAGGATTCTGATTGGAAAATGAGCTTAAATAAATAATTCAAAATCAGCACTGGACAATAATTCCTAGTCCCATTTAATGCAATCCAGATACCATGTGGGCTTTTAGAAATACCATGTAAAAAAAGGCTACTTAAAAAGAAGTTGGACTTAAGGCTTGAAGTAGGAAAGTGGTGGCAACTTTTAGCAGCTTTGTTAATAATTTTTCCATTTGTCCTTATTGGAAACCACGGAGAACAATAAGATGAATGAAACAGAAGCCCCAACCATATTTTCAGTGAAATTAATAAAAGGCTGAGAAAAATGTAAAATGCCATGTTTTAAGTGCTGCCCAAAACATCCAAGACCATTACAGCCAAGGCAAGAGAACTCTCATTAAAGGCCACAATAGTGCATCAAAAAAAGAAAAGGGTTGAGCTCAGAAATCAGCAGTAAATATAGTCCCAGCAAGACAGGGCCCAGACTGAGTGGGAAGTGCTACAAGCAGGGCTAAGATAGACTAGAGTACGAATACTGGAGGCAGCAGGAGAAGGTGCGGAAAGTTCCTATCTGAGCAAGCACTGCCCTGTACTCAGATTCCAAAAAACACAAGGATGTGCACAAGTAACCTGTTAGAAAATGACTAGGATGGCAGAGACTGTGCTTCCTCATGGCCAGTGAAGACGTTATGAATGGGAAGGGCTGGAGGTAGAAGTTCTAAACTAGGTTTGGGAGACCAGATCTCAAAGAGTTTGTTGCTGTAGCAGTATAGGAGGAAGCCCTTGACCTGAGGAAGGCTGAGAGGCCTTTCTCCTGTTCTGCAGAAATGTGCTGATAGCTGGTGCAAGATTTGGATCAGGCCCTTGTGCTTTCACAAAGCTTTAAAGGACTAATTGTAATTATATAGAAAAGAAGAAAACTTTCAAAGTATTTGTATAATGCAGATACAACATTGTTTCCAAAACCTGACATTTATACAGACAGGCTAATTTCATTGATGAACAAATGGAAAAAAAGTCATGGTTTTGGGTGGGAAGACTCACTATCATAAAGCTCTTCTTTTATCCTGAGTTGATTTATAAATGTGATATGAAAAAGAAGACTGTATTAGTTTGCTAGGGCTGCCATAACAAAACACCACAGAGTGGGTGATGCAGACCACAGAAGTTTTTCTTCTCGTAATGCTGGAGTTTAAAGTCCAAGTCAAAGTGTTGGCAGGTTTGGTTTCTTCTGAGGCTTCTCTTTCTGTGCCTTACAGATGGCTGCCTCCTTGCTGTGTTCTCAGCTGTGTGGTCGTCCTTCAGCTGTGTGTTGTCTGTGTCCTAATCACTTCTACTTATAAGGACACCAGACTTGTTGGATTAGGGCCCACACAAATGACCCCATTTACTTCTTCACCTCATTCAAGTCCCTATCCAAATACAGGCACACTCTGAAGTACTGGGGGTTCAAAGTTAAACATTTGAATTTTGAGAGGACACAATTCAGCCCATGACAAAGACCAACAGATCTTTTTCTGGAACTAGGCAAACAGATTCTAAAGTTTATATTGATGGGGTGAGGAGGGAAGAAGAATAAGGAAAAAATCTGGAAAAGAAGAGCAGTAAGAGAAACCTACTGAATATTAAAATAAAGACTCCATAATTTAAAAATGTGTAACTGACATATGAGTATATACACTATGCATACATTCCAATGAAACAGATGCAAGATTCTCAAATTCTTCATGAGTTAATTTATAAGTGTAGCATATGATATGAGTTAAAAGAAATAAAACGCTTTAATTCTCAACATTTCTAATGTTTTAAATTACATTGTATTAAATATTAGTTTTACTTTTTTTCATTTCTGTTTACATTTATAAATGACAAAAAACATTACAGGCTATGGAACAATTGTTTTTCCTCATTGATTATTAAGATTGCTTTTCATGGTTTCAGCTTGCACAGTCTTTTTTATTGTTCTGTACTGCTATGCAAAGCAAGGACAGCTTCTCTGTATATATTTACATTTATATGAAGAGATAACTAAAAATTGGGGCAAGGTCCAACAACCCAATGGAAAACAAGCGAAGTTTATAAACAGACAAAATTTATTATGGTATATCCACACAGTGGACTATTATGCAGCTAAATAAAAGAAACCTCTCTCTGTACTGATGAAAGGTATCTTAGATATATGGAGTGAAAAAGCAATTGCAGAACAATGTATCTGTGTTTGAACATATGTTTTGTGTGCACGCTACCTTTTGTGTAAAAAAGAAAAATGAGAATGGATATTTATGCTTATTTTTATAGAAATTAACACAAACAATACACATGAAACCAATAAAAGTGATGATTTGTGTTAAAAGGAGTGGAGTGAGACCTCTCAAAATATACTTGTTACATATTGTTTTGATTTTGAGCTATATGAATGATTATATTATTGATAAAAAATGTTTAAAATAAGTAGGTACTTAAACAATGAGTTGTTTTCAGTAAAAAATGCAAGAAAATGAAGACATGTTGACATCCTTATGAAAAGCAAATCAGTGTTTTGAAATTATTGTTTTAGAATATATTGTATGTGAGTTGTGTCAACTAGCTTTATTTCTACCAAACCTTTCTGAAAATAATGTATACATTTTCTTATTTTAGTATTAACAGTACCAGCAACAGACATTGCTGAAGAAACTGTTATAAGTGAAGAACCACCAGCTAAGAGACAATGTATCGAAATAATTGAAAACCGGGTGGAATCTGCAGAAATAGAAGTAAGGAGTCTTTTGCCCGGTGTGTTTTGCTGCAGTCATCCAAAATAAATTCATTTTGCTTTTCTTTATTTTTTTGTCTTTTTTATTTATTACTGACAGTGTTGTTTTGATACAGAATGAAAGTACATAGTATTATTTTGTTTAACTTTTGCCTTATATATATATAGCAAGCCCTCAATAAATAAATATTGAATGAATGAATGAATGAGTGAAGAATTTGTTTGTAACAGTGTGTCATCCTGGTAACATTGGAATGTCTTTGGTCCTTACACTCCATCCTTTATTTTTCATTAAATTTATATACATCATTCTCACAAGTCACTAAAGGAAATATTACTATATATTGACTAAAAATTATTTTTTCTTTCAAAAGTGAAATGCAAGTGCCTATTTGGGCTGCAGGATCCTCTTATAGAAGGTTGATATTTGTGAACTGGGTGATTTATTAAAAAGCTGTAGATAACTGCTTTTTTCACTGTTAAGTTCTTTAAGGAAATTAAATTTGGACTAACTGTTGGAGGGGGGAGGGATTCAACTTTTTTCCCCTCTCCCAAACTAGATTGTAAATGTAAACCAGTTTGTAAGTGTAACCAAGCCATAGTTACCTCACAGATTTATCTCCTTACATCACTGTAAATAAAGTTATGTCCTCCAAATTTGATATTAACTTACATCAAATGAAAATAAAGTCATTCAAAAGTTATTTTGGAGTTTTTATGAGAATTGAAAAAGCTCATATACTTATACACATATTCATAATATCTGATATGTAAATAGTAAGTGTTGGTGAATATTTAAGGTTTTTGTTACCATAGAAAAGGAAGGATTTGGAAAAAGAGTCACTAAAAGGCAACATAATTCTGACTGAGGACAATTAGAAGATACCCTTGCCCAAATTCATTTAAATGTTAACACTGGTATATCTTTGGCCACAATCACAAAGAGTATATTATTGAGTTAAAATGATTTATCTGATTCATGATATAATCAGAATATTTGGTAAAATTATGGCTTTAATTATTGAGGGTGAGTTGTTTTATTTAAAATTTAAAGTGATATTCAGTACTGAAGTTCTTATAAACTAACAATTTATTCCATTGACCAGTATTAGTATACTTATTATTTAATTTTTTTAATATCTTTTACTGATATGTCAGAGGATCTTTTTTTCTGGCATATAAGGTGAAAACAGTTCTGTCATGTACTTTGCTTTAACTGTTTAATAAAACATTTTTAAATTACTTGAACTTTTATTAAACATACATTTACTCACATCAACAAATTATGTTTTCAAAATATTGAATGTGCAGTCTGTACCTTTATTTACCTATCAGCCAGTGAGAGTTGCCGTTTTCCTCAGAGTTCCACCTCTTTCCTCTCATACAGTCTTTCAGAGACCAAGGAGAATAACTGCAAATAACAGGAAAGTATGAACTGAAGTATATAAATTAACTCGAACCAAGGAGATAGAATTTCAGGGAGATGGCGTTTTAGCTTGTTATAAAGAAGTGTTTTTTGTTTGTTTTTAGTAATTAAGCTTTCTGGTAATGGAGATCTTATTTTCCATCACCAGATATGTTCAAGCCAAGGTTGCATGATCTTAACTTAGAGCTATTACAGAGAGATCTTAAAGCCTACAGTGAGTTTAGATGGTAAAGGGCTGGGAATATAAAATGAAGAGAGACCCCTAGTGTTTTCATCAAACCAGGTAATCATTTCCTCTTAATACATGAAGTGGTTCTATTTTCTTAGATGACTGTTAGAGGTGTCTTGGGGCAGATTTTTATACTCCTCTCTCTAAGTGACAGTTGGTCCATTTACCCAAAATGTTTCTCTAAGGTAGCATTTCCCAACTGGGGCAATTTTGACCCCAAGGAACATTTGGCAATGCCTGGAAACATTTTGGGTTGTCACAACTAGGTGCGTGCCACTGACATTTAGAGGGTAGAGGTCAGAGATGCTGCTAAATATTCTACAATGTACAGGGCAGCCCCCCACAATAATTATCTGGTCTAGAGATAATCAATGCTGAGATTGAGAAGCATTGCTGTAAATGAATTAAAAAATTGACTTGTTACACAGAATCTAACATGTTTGAGTTTTCTCTGTGTGTTCCCACAACTACTAGAGTGACTAAAGAAAGTGCTAAGAATTTATATTTACAGTTTCCTGGCTAACATTGGAGAGGTTTAACAGTAATCTCTGGAAAAATTAGTTTAAATTGTAGAAAATTTTATTGTAAATATTGTGGCTTTTACATCCACATTACAGCAATATAGGAAATAAAATAAGTTTGTTTTTTAGAGGGGAGGTATGAATAAGACACCAAATTGCAATAATGTATATCATTTTGTTACCACCCCTGGATATAACTGCATAGTGTATATTGGGAAGAAGTGTGCTGTTTATGGATTTCTTCCATAAGTAAACATTAGCCTATTCTGAATTGACATTAACACTGTTCTTTGTACATGTTGGAGGGAGGAGATGTAATTAGTACATTAGGAGTAACAGATTTTTTTTTTCCTATTACTTAGTTGTGTGAATTCAGGAAATAGCTTTACCTTTTCTTTGCCATGAAGATTATAGAGGTGAATATGTTTATCAGCAAGTTTCATTTATTTACGTCTATGAACTATTTGTGTCCTTTAACCAGTGATAGATTGAGATTCTTAGTGTTCTTTTAAAAGTTGATTTCTGTAAACTTTATACAGTGTTTCATTTGATACAATATTTTTCAATTTGTTTTCCTTTTATTGATGAATATCCTTTGATTTAGAAAAATTTAGAGTTTTGTATAGTTGTATCTCTGATAATTTTCTCTAGGGCTGGAGTAGGCAAAGTTTTTCTCTAAAGTGTCAGATAACAAACATTTTTGGCTTTGTGGGCTATACAGTCTGTGTTTTGCTACTCAGCTCTGCCATTGTAGCTGGAAAGCAGTCATAGTCAATTTGGAAATGAGTAGATTTGGCTGTATTTTGATAGAACTTTATAAAAACAGGATCATATTTGACCCGTGGCAGTTAGAAAATTGATGCTTACAAGCAAATGGACAGCCTACACACCCTGCCAAGTTTCTCTCAATAAAAAGACATTTAATGGTTAAGAACATGGGGGTGAAATCAGATTTAGGTTTGAATTATATTTTATAATTTTCTGACTGTGATTTTGGTCAAGTCGTTTAACCATTCAAGGCGTAGCTTCTCCATCAGTAAAAAGGAGAGACTAATAGCACCTACATTATCAGATTGTTGTAAGGTTTAAAGGAGAAAACGTGAAGGAGTAGCACAATGGTAGGGATATAATAAATGCTCTGTAAATGTTAATTATTATTCTAAAATTTATTTTGAGATGTGGTAGAAGATAATTCACTATGATGATTTTTTGCTTTATAATAGCTAAAGCAAAACAAATTTGAATGTTAGAAAATTATATATTAATATGTTAAAATTGCTGAGATAAATTGCTATTACCTGAAGCAGAGTTCAAGAATGTTGTTTGAAAATAAAAAAGCAAATTCAAGTCTTTCCTTGCTCTGTTATTCCATTGCCTAATGTAATAGTAATAGACTGCTTGGGTTTGGAGTTGTTGTATAAGATAAATATCTCCTTTTATTGCTACCAAATCTTGATTATCATCAGGATTTATTTTTCTTGGAATTCTTCAATGTTAGACTGTTAAAGGAGAAATATTTTAGTATTACATATTAGTATATGTATATTTATTTGCTAAAGCATATTTATTTTAAAATATCAAAATCCTTTTTATTGTGGTTTTATTGCAAAAGGTCAAAGCCATCAGATAAGCATATCTATTTAAATGTAATTCTCAAATGTCAGTCTGCTGCATTATTTATGTATGAAATAACCAAATTACTGTTTGCATTAAGGAAGTGTCTTGCGTGTAATATATGTTCAGTAAACATTTGACAAATAAATGTAGAAACAGGATATCTTTGAGTAAGAAGTGGTATTTTCCACTTCTAAGAGATTTTTGTTTCGAAAAATGAGATGGCAAAAAGATTCTCTCCCCAAATACCTATGTTCCTGAGAAGTGAAAAATGAAAACACTTGAAAAAGACTTTAATAATGTTAACTATGCTTTCAATCTTGAGGATTAATTGTATTCAAAGGGTAATGCTAATGATCTTTATCTCTCATATTTTACAGATTCAAGAAATGCAGTGTAAAATGAGTCTTATTTGACCTAGTAGGCAGAAGGGAGCTATCTTTTTATATTAAGATATAGTCTACTAATGGAAGTAAAAATATACAGTAAGGAAAATAGGATTAAACTGTGTTCACTGCTAGACGGCTTACCTCACTCAGCTGCTTTTATCTTCTGAAATAATTGACTCTCTTTGCTGTTTCTAAATGTCAATAAACAGCTGAATCTAGAAGATACCTTAGAGTATCTGTTTTAACATTTCCTACCATATCAGGGCAAGTTTTTTTTTATCCATATTCAAAACTTTGACTATGGAAGGATCTTATTCCTTAACACATGTAAAATTCGAAAACATGTATGGATGGCTGTGAGCGTCCTGGGGAAGCAGCAGCCATTGCCCACCCTCCCCCTTGGTGAGCTCACGGTCGTCCGTAGTTCACGGCCGGGGTACTGGCGATGATGGCTTAGATGAGGCTCATCTCGTGGGTGTCCTTTCTGACCGCTCCTCCTCTCATCTGGCCTGGAAAGTAAGGGTAAGAAGCAGATAAGAAAAGGGCAGCAGGGTAGGGTCTGGGCATTGCTTAAATTGGAGACGAAGGGCACACCACCTTTCTTCTACTGGTACCTTTTGTGTAACCGGAAGATTTGAAGACTACTTGTATAATCAATCACTCCCACATTTGATGGCTCCATGGGAACAATAACTGTTATTGGATCTGGCTTCATTCCCAGTGTGGGGTAGGGAGCGGGATCACAAGAAAGCAAGCGTATTCAATGTGCTCCTCTTTGTGGACCAGGTGAAGAGTGAAGAGGAGGGAGCCTGTGGTGTTCACCATGGACCAGGGTCACGGAGGCAGTGGAGGGGAACCTCCTACTGTCCTCTTCCCCATCAGCCTGCTGACCCCTCACCTTCAGTCCCCTCTGGTTAAGTGTCTTGTCCAGTGTGAGCCTGGCCTTTCTGATTAATAGTCCTCAACCCCACCCTGCTAAGAGGTCCTGGGCCTCTGTGACGAGGTTGAGCTTGGGCCTGAGCAAGTTGAGCTTTTGTCCATGTGCCTACTGGAGGTATGGAAAAAGAATCTGAAATGTTTTCCCTTGTTTTTTTTTGTGAGGTAACTGAATAGAGGCAGAGTGAGGAGGAGGAGAAGGAATACCATTTTGATTGGAACAGATTTGTTTCAGCTCTCGACTGAGGAATTTAATACATATATTTTATACCTGTATAATGTAATGAGTCACAGTAGAGAAGTTAGTATTTTATTGCTTTGGAAATGGTATAATTTAGGAAACACTAATCTAGACCAGCACTCATTTTAGAGATGAATCTTGCTTGCTATCATAGAGAAAGATAGTTTTAAAAACAGTAATAGTATAATCTCATAAACCCGACTCCTTACTGTGTTACCATTGGAAGACTACATCATCTCTGAGCATCATTTTTCTCATCTGTGAAATGGGCTTTATATCTATCTTAGAGGCTTGTTATCGAAATCACCTTGTTTAGCTATATAATGGGTGCTAAGAAAATATTGTTTATAAGTATTACCTTTAGATAAAAACATTACAGATAGAGATGTGAAGAGGTATGGTTGTATTTTTCCCTCTTTAAAGCTCTTCATTAGTATTTGTAGTACATATAAAAGTACAGGTACCCAATTTGGGTTCATTATGTTAGTCATTTCTAATTAGGAAATTACTTCCTTCAGGTCAGAAACTAATCTGTATCTCAGCGCGGAGCACAAAATTAGGGGCTTTATTAGCAAATTGGTTGAAAAGGCAAGATGTCTAGGAAATAGCCTTAGGTGACTGCTTTTAGCTACAAGTTTTTTTATTTAAAGGATGCATACTTATAATGTGTTCATAATGTATTCGTCCAAAAATTGAAAAAAGAAACCTTTTTTTTTTTTTTTACATTAGGAGAGAGAAGCTCTTCAGAAACAGCTGGATGAAGCAAATCGAGAAGCACAAAAATATCGACAGCAGCTTCTAAAGAAAGAACAGGAAGCAGAGGCCTACAGACAGAAATTAGAAGCTATGACTCGTCTTCAGACGAATAAAGAAGCAGTTTAATTGAACACGTAGTTTGAGTTTACTTTTGGTCAAGAAGGAATACATGCTTGAACTGTACATAATAAGGTGCAGTCATGGGACGATAGGATAACAGAAGAGACTGCAGATTGATAATTGGACTTAAGCCATGAGCTCTGAATTCTTGTAACATAAAACTTTAGAAGTTGTGAAATGTATTTAAAACTGAATTCTGTAAATAGTTTTTGTTTTTTTACAGTTCCAAACGAGTTGATAAAGATTGTTGAAGAGATCCAAAAACACAATAAGCCACTGTTTTTGTGTATTATTTTTGATTTTAGTATGAACCTTAATTTCTCAGAAACAGAACAGTTTTAAGGGTGATCGTTGTTGATTAGACCAAATGTGTAATAATTATGTGGTGGACTGATGCTGGAATTCCTCCTGTAGGTATAAACTTCTATACGAAGAAAAGATTCCTCCCAGGAAATCTTTGTACAGCTTTAAGTTGTCTCAGATTCTCTGAAAGCATTTTTTAGAAAGCACATTTTTATATTTGTTCATCTTCAGCTATACCCAAGTAGATTTACAGGTATATGAAGCAAATATTTTTTAAACTTTGTGTTTGTACATATTCTGCATGTTTTATAATTTCAAAATGCATCACTTGCATAGGTATTTTTCCCACAAAAATAATGAAAGTTAACTAGGGAAAAAAAACAAACCTTTTATTCTGTAGCTCAACTAGGTAAGCTAGCAGCTGGTTTTATTGGAATGACAATGTTCTTGGAAGGAGCAGCTTACAAGGTAACTTGAATTTACAAACCGTAAAATCTGTACTTTTTTGAAAATTTCATAGTGGGGACGTGAAACTGTATTCTGTGCCTTTCATCATGATTTCCACATGAAAGCACTTTAAGGCACTAAATTTTAAGATGTTTTTGGAAAAATTCAAAGCATATGGATTTCTGAAATATTTAATGGACTCATTCGCCCCCAGGAAGTTATTCTTACGGAAAAAAAAAGGCTTTTGTATGTAGAACAAGAGCTTCTTGTACTACAGTGATGCCATAGATTTGTCTACCATAACTTTTCCTTTTCCTTGTGAAAGCTGTAATGTCTGTGCTGCAACGTGCTCTCATCACAATATTGTTGAATTCCACAATGTATGAACTTTAAATTCTGACATACTGTTCATTCTTTTTTTTTTTTTGTAAAACATAACTTCACACCTTTTTCCTTGCTTTATTTTTTAATGTTTTATTGCTTTATGAAAATGTTTAACCCTGAGGCCCTTCTAGATTACCTATACTGTATAAAGAAGCAATTACCCTTAAAACTGTACTCTGGCCTACTTTTCTATTTTACAATTAAATATCTTTTCCACATATGTTCAGTGTAGACTTATATTTTGACCACATTTTATTCACGCATTAAAATTTTGTTCTGTGTATTAAAGCTGTATTTCACCATATGAAAATATTATATATTCTTCACACTGTGTCTTAAAAGCCCTTGAGGTAAATCCTTGGGAATTTGTTAGTTCTCTCACTGGAGTTGTCATTTGAGTTAATGTAAAACAAGGATCTGTCATCTATCAGCCTGATACTTGCTATTTGGAAACTCTTAGAAAGGTTTTAGGGCAAATTAAGAACTATAAGGAAGAGAAAAAATCTTTTTCAGTTTTCCAGTAAATTTGACATATATTTTAAATGATCTAAAACTGTACGCTTTCCAAATGCCAGGCCATATTTTCAGTCACATGAAGCTACTTTTTCTGTGTCTGTTTTTCATTACTTTAGTGCATTGATGGGTTTGTTATGTTAGGCGGGGAGCCCTGATATATGTGGTGCTGGGAGTGGAGAAGGGCCCGTATTCATCCGAGTGCAGCCACTATCCAGTTTTACTTCCATACCAGGTTGGCCCTGAAGAACCTTGGGACTTGGAAACAAGCTTCTGAAAGCTAATTTAATGCCTTTGATTTCTAGTCTCCCGTTCTGCTAGAGACTTAACCTGGTGCAAGGAAGAATTTTGATGTATAACAACATTTGGCATAGATGAGAGAAAATAATTGGTACATAAAATAAATGATAGTAACAGGTGGATATTCCAATGCCTGGGGGAATGTTCATTGTTTTTCAGATCTGATTGTTATGTTAGACTTGTCTGACGACTCAATCATCTACCCTGATTCTCTGCCCTATGACATTATTTAGACAAAATTTATAACTAAAACTTAAAATGGGTTGCCTTTTTTTTCTTTTTTGCTCTTTGCATTCCAATCATTCTTAATGGTATTCTGAGCAAAGGATTAAAAGAACCCAGAATAAAATAATGTAAAAGTTTTTAGAAATCCACGCTTCATGTATTTTCATTATATAATGATAGATTTGCCACATTGATGGTTAATTATTTCCATTTATGTGTGAACAGACACCTTCCAGACCAGCCTTTCTCAATGAGAATCAAGCTGTAATGCCCTAAGAGTTAGGACCTAATGAATTAATTTCTTGTAATGAGTTAATTTCTTTCCTATACATCTAGAATAGCACTGGTTATGTACTATCTTTGAGCTCATTAGATGTCTTGATAGCCTAATTTCTTGATTCAGATTTAGCACTTCCCTATGTATAGCCACTAGAATTCTGGGATTACAACTTTTAACTTGAGTCTAATGCTTTGGGAAAGCCTCATCTTGTGAGTGATATCTGCAGGGACTGTGCTGCTCAACTAATTTTCGTTTATTGTTATTTGTTTTGTTTCTATCTTAATTACATCCCAAATGGGTTTGTGATGTCAGTTTTTTTCATTGGCTTTTAGGGGTTATTATGTCAATCTTTCATGATATGAATGGCAGAGTAGTTACTCTCTTATTCTGCTCTATTGCTCTATTTGTTTGTAGTGGTGGAGGGTTGGGAGTTGGGGAGCTTTCTTCTATGACATTCAAAAGAGCCAAGTTAGAGAAGGGAATACATGTGACATCCCATGTCATCTGGAATATGCTTGTTTATGACAAAAAGATCTGTGTGCAAATATATCCAAAACATCACCAGTGAAAACCTCTGCCAGTATGTTTCTTCAACAAGACCATTTATGATACTATTTATTTATTGAAAATTAGAAGAAATCTTTGTCCATAACAAGAATTGATGAGTCGATAGACATAATCATGGGTGCTTTATGCTGATGTGGCTGATTTTTTTTCTGCGTTTCTCTATACAAAGTTTCAGGTAAGATCTACAGTTTCTTTGTGCCTTATTACCTGGACGACATTGAGAACTGACTCAAAATATATGAAGAGCAACCTTTTCAGGTAAAATCACAAAACAATTGTAGGAACCTTTACGCCCATATGGATGATTCCCAAGGCATTAGCACCCAGGCTCACCCAGCAAATAGAAAAAAAATCTTTTCTATTCACCTAGCTTCTGTTGAACAAATAACTCCTTCCATTATATCAGATCAACTTAGGAATGAACTAGCTAATATATTTGTTAGTTCATTAAGTAATATTTACTGTACTTGGATTTCATTATAGATAACTAGTCTGCTGTAGTTTTGAATGATGTTTGCTATTTGCTTTCTCTATGTTAGATGAGAACACCTCAGTGCACATGGATTCAGTTTGACGTAAGCTCTCTGAATTCATTCTCAGATTACTCTGTAACCTATGATGGAAAACACAATAGCATCACTGGAAATACGTTCCCGGTTCCAAATCAAAATTTTGATATCAATATTTTTGTGACTTGCTAATTTTTTTGTATGCTAAATAAAAGGAAAGCTTTCGTTTTCGTATTACCATTTTTCATAATTGTTCTTGACTTACAACCCTTATAACGCTCAAGAATTATTTCAAATTTAAATTGCATTCACTTACTTTGCTATAGAAAAACGTATTAAGAAAGTTCACACCTGCATGAAACTATAGTCTTTTTAAAAAAAAAAATTCTTAGTCTGCCAGAGAACTAATTAGTTCCAAACATTTTTTCCCCAGTATAACAGACTCTTGGCATTGAACACTGAAACATATTATTAATTAAGAATGTTTACTATCTTGGGGCCGGCCGAGTGGCGCGATGGTTGAGGACTCGCTTGGGATGCCAGAGGGCCCCGGTTCGGATCCCGCATGTGAGGGCCAGTGAACACTGCCCTCTACAGCTGGGATGCTGAACAACGGCTCAACCTGGAGCTGGGCTGCCGTGAGTCGCCGGCGGCGGCGTAGGCTGCAGCCCCTGTGGCGGTGGATTGCCATGGGCTACCGTGTGTGGCCAGCAGCCAGCGTGAGCGGCCGGCAGCCGCAGTGAGCGGCCGTCCAGAAGCCGGCGACTGATCTGCCTCGCCCGGGAAGAGCGCAGTGACGGTGCCAACTTGGGCCAGTGAAGCAACGTCCTCCACAGCTGGACTGAGGAACAAGACAACGGCAACTTGTCTGTTCCCCTTCGCCAATCCCCCAGCACTGTTCCCATTCCCCCAATTCCCCAATAAAAATCTTTAAAAAAAAAAAAAAAAGAATGTTTACTATCTTGGTAGGTACAATTCAACACTCTTTTTGTTTTTCATTGTTGTTTGAATAAGAACTTCAAAATATATAGAAAGGCACAGAGAATATTATAACAAACATTCATGTACCTACTACCCAAATTTAATCTAAAATTACCTTCTTCAAATCTTTTAAGAAACAGAATGTTACAGAGGTAGTTGAGGTCCCTTTGCTCCCCTTTCTCACATCATTCCCCTCCGTTTTCCTAAAAGACAAGCACTATCTTGAGGTTTAAATGTTGTGCTCTACATTTTCATGCTTTTACTACATACCAAATTTTATAAATATATGGTAGAGTTTTGTGTAGTTCTTAAATTTTATTAAAGCTTTCTTTCTAATACAAGTGTCATTCTGCATATTTATTTTCTCAATTCAATATTTTGTACGTGTATTCATGTCTGAAGAGTCATTCCTTTTGGCTGTTAGCATAAAATTAGAGTATACCATAATTATCCTTTGTTCTGTGTATAGATATATCACTTCCAATTTTTTGCTATTGCAAATGGTACTGTAATGAGTATCCTTATAATCTGTTATCCCTTATATGCATGCATGTGCTAGGTTTCCTCAGATGGAATTGGTAGGTTGAGGTTAGTCAAGTTTACAAAAACCTGATATTGCCACACTAATATTTTTGCCAACCCACCTTGGCATGAAATTGTTCTCATTATTTTCTATTACTATTACTAGCGAGGTAGAACATTTTTTTTCTCTGTTGTTTCTTTTCCATTAGTGTTTGTGAATTGCTAGTTTATAGCTGATTTTTTTATTGAGTAGTTTTTTTCTTAATTTGTTGAAGTTCAATATTTTTCTGGAAACAAATCTTTTGCTGGTTATATGAGCTTTAAATATCTTCTGCTGGTGTCTGATTTTTAAATAAGTTTTGCTTATGTTATCTCAATTAATATATATTTACTGAATGTCTGCTATGTACAACTCAACACCAGGCTGAGGGAGAATTCCAAGTTGTATATGAATCTAACACTTGAGCTGATCATGAAAGGTGGGATGAAATTTTAATTTACAACTTGGCTCTTTTTCTCTTTTAACCAAATAATCTCCTTTTTATAATGTATGCTTTTCCAGATAATTAGCTAGGGAAAGATTTAATTTTCATACTATTTTTAAAAAATATACTATCTAGTGCAATGAGATATTTAAGTTCAATGCACAATATTTCTAAGTAGCACTGGTTGTGGGAGAGAGTGCGATGAAGATAACATGGTGAAAGTTGAGAAAAAAGCTTTTTTTTTTTTTTAAGATTTTTATTGGGGAATTGAGGGGATGGGAACAGTGCTGGGGAATTGGGGGAAGGGGAACAGACAAGTTGCTGTCATTTTTGTTCTTCAATCTAGTTGTGGAGGATGTTGCTTCACTGGCCCAAGTTGGCACAGTCATTGTGCTCTTCCCGGGTGAGGCAGATCAGTCGCCGGCTTCTGGACGGCCGCTCACTGCGGCTGCTGGCCGCTCATGCTGGCTGCTGGCCGCTCATGCTGGCTGCTGGCTACACACGGTAGCCCACGGCAACCCACTGCCACAGGGGCTGCAGCCTATGCCGTCGCCGGCGACTCATGGCAACCCAGCTCCAGGTTGAGCTGTTGTTCAGCATCTTAGCTGTGGAGGGCAGTGTCACTGGCCCTCATATGTGGGATCGGAACCGGGGCCCTCTGGCATCCCAAGCGAGTTCTTAACCATCGTGCCACTCGGCCGGCCCAGAAAAAAAGCTTTTTAGATGTTACAAACTGGGAGGAAGGAGGAGGAGCAACTTTGTTGTATTTTAAGCATATACATATATAGCATAAGCATATAGTGATGAAAATGTGTTTGGTGGCTGTGAAACTGTACTTCTGTTACCCTCTGGATGACCACCTCCTAACTAGTTTTTTAGTCTAGCTTCCCCCAAGTTCAGTTCTCTACTCTGAAGTCAAAAAGGAGTAAACATGCAAATCTGATGGGACTCTTTTGCTTAAAATCATAAACATTTCCATGATTTCCCATTGCCCTTTGGGCAAATCTAAATCCTAGGTGGCCCTTCACAGTCTTGTTCCTTCCTACCTCTGCAATTTCACTTCGTACTTGTCTCTCGACTACTTTCTACTCCTATTTTACTGGAATCTGTCTCACTTCAGGGCCTTTGCACATGCTGTTACCTCTGATCAGCTTTCCACACCCTTTGTCTACCTGTAATCCAACTTTTAGGTGTCAGAATCAACAACATTTCCTCATCAAAATTTCCCTTTCTGCCCCCAAATTAGGTAAGGCTCCCCATCACCTTTGTATGCATACTTGACACCCTATAATGCCCCTTTCAAAAAAAGCCTTTGTGGCATCTGTTTTCCTGGATTATAAACTCTATATGGCTTGGGTTGGTGTCTCTCTTGGTCTCCATTGTATCACCAACTGTAACAGGAGGAGGGGCCCAATAAATATTTGTTGAGTAAGTGGGCAATTAGGGGAACATAATGATGAAGAAAAAGTATCTAATATGATAAACCCATTTATTGATTTCCTATCCTCATTGTTACTGTATTTTTTCAGTTGTAGAATTTCCATTTTTAAAAATAGTTTCTGAGTTCTTACCAAATGTTTTCATCATGTTAGATACACCTGAAGAGAGAAATCAAAGATAGGTCAGAAAAAATTTTCCAAACTGAAACTCGGAGAGAAAAGAAGGTGGAAAATAAAGGTATATATATACATATACATATACATATACATATACATATACATATATATAATATTTATATATGTATATATATATTCTGTAATATGTGTGTATATATATACATACACAATTATATATATTATTTACATATGAGAGAAGGTAAAAAAGTTCAACATATGCATAAATGGAGTTGCAAAAGAATAAAAGAGAGATAATGGAGCAGAAGCAACGTCTGAAGAGAAAATAATATAGATTTCTATTTAAAGTGCCTTACTTAATGCTTGGTACTTTTTGTGGGCTCAGTAAGTGTCAGCTACTATCACTGTCAATGTTATTATTTCTCCACCCCTGCTTTTAGGAAAGACTTATACTATTGGCAGTATCACTGGACTCCAAATCCACTTGGACATTTTTTCACCAAAGACCTTATATTCCTGGGGTATTCTTTTTTTTTTTAAGTTAAAGCTTTATTGAGATATAATTCCCATACTATAAAATCCTCCCATTGGAAGTGTAAAATTCAGTGCTTTTAGGATATTCACAGAGTTATGCAATCATTACAATAATCAATTTTAAAACATTTTCAGCACTCCCTGTCAAAAAAGACCCCACCCAGTTCCCCTAGCTATCAACCTCTGACTTCCCACCTCCCAGCCCCTGGTAACAAGTAATCTACTCTCTGTCTTTATAGATTTAACTATTCTGGACATTTCATAAAAATGTAGTCATACAACATGTGGTCTTTTTTTCTCTTAGCATGTTTTCAAGGTTCACCCATGTTGTAGCATGAATCAGTACTTCATTCCTTTTATTGTGGAATAATCTGTCGTATGTCACATTTTATTTATCCACTTATCTGTTAATGCACACTTGGGTTGTTTTCATTTTTTGGCAGTTATGAATAATGCCACTATGAACATTTGTGTTTCTGCGTGTCCTTTTACACACACACACACACACACGCACACACACACACCCTCTTAAGTGCTAAAAGTGATTAAATCTGGGTGATGCTTCAATTTTTATTCCCTTTGCTTATCTGTGTTTCCTCACTTCTTTACAAAATAAGTACTATGTAGCAATAGAACAAGTCATTGTGTTAGATGATAACATCTGCCTGTTCCTGAGCACAGGGGTCCTCCCTCCCTGCCACTGATAGGGAAGCAGGAATAAGACTAACAATTTGTGCTGCTTATTCTGATACCCTGTGAGCTTTGTCTGAGGCTGGGGCCTGTCTGCATCCAGGAGCAGAAAGAGCTGAAGGCTCGTCATCACATTCACCTGGAGGCTGCTGGCAGGTACTGTTTTATCCTCCATCTCTTTGACCAGACAAAGCTGTGGTCCCTCTTCCCCGCAAGGACTGGAGGGAGAAGGGGCGGATTAATGAAGCTTGGAGGAAGGGCTTTTGAAGGGCGGAGCTAAGGTCAAGAACCGAGAACTCTTTAAATAAAGGGCCCCCACTGGCCGCCCAGGAGTGCCCCTTCTACCACCTGCGAGTGTGTCCATCTGTGAGAAGGAGCCGGAGCCTCAGGGAGATGATGGAGCCCGAGGAGTACAGAGAGAGAGGTGAGCACCCCTGGCCCTCCTGTCCGCACCACCAGCAGCAACTGGTTTAGTTTCTGAGGTGTCATGTGGGCAGTAGAATTGCCTTCTAAGAGCTGGCTGCTGCAAAACTTTTGTTGAGAAAGGAATGTGGGATCAGAGTTTAAAGCTTTTTCTCGACCTCTCTTTCATTCTCCCTCTCACATACCCACTCTCATATGCTCTCATATATGTCCACACGACCATGTCATGCGTTTCTTTTCTACTTTCCCACAAAACAGAGAAGCTGGATTCCTGACCCACTACGTGGGAAAAGGGGGATTGATTAGTCATGTTCTGAAGTAGAAAAAAATTCCCTAAGTGTTCTGTAGTCACTGCAAAATCCCTTTTTTCTTAATATTCATTTCTCTATGTGTGAATCTATCAGGGTGCTTTCATTTAGTCATTCATTCTATAAATATTGAGTGAGCACCTACTATGCATCAAGCCTGTGTGGTGAGCAAAACCAAATGGTTATCCTGTTTTCAGGCATGGCTCTCCAAAGAGGGGAAGTAGGTCATTGTTCCCAGTTTCTCTCTCTGTAAGTTTTTACATCCTCAGGCTGCCAGCAGGTTATATTGCCTGAGATTCCATTGCTGTAAGGTGTTCTCTTGTGTTAAAATCCAAGTTTTCCTTTCTCCTCCACCCAGATATAACTCACTAAGTGGCTATCAGCCTTTAGACTTGAGTGCATTAGCTTCTATCATTGCTTTCCGAAGGCACTTTTAGCTGACAGTGTATCCTGTGAGTGGAACACACATGTATTTCCTTCTGTCCCTGGACAAGTGGAGGGCTAGGTCCAGGGCTCTCAGACCTCTGGTGGGGTGCTGCTAGAGTTACCGAGAGGCGTCGGGCTTTGGGAGGGCAGGAGGGGAGCAAAAAGAGGAAGGACGGGCGCTGAAATAAACCCTCTTTGTCTCTTGCACAGTTTTGTCTGGGCGCTGATCCTGCTCATGAGAATTTTGCATGAGCTGGTACAGAGGTGCGTGTGTGGGTGGGGGCGGGTTGCGGGGGGAATCAGGGTTCCTCTCCTCTTCTCTATTTTATTTTTTGCTGGGGGAAAAAGGAGCCTAAGGAGTACTGAGGAGGACTTACAGGTATTGAGAGAGACAGAGAGACTAACAGAGACACAGACACAGAAAGAGAGAGAAGGAGGAAGGGAGGGAGGGAGGGAGACAGAGAAAGAAATAGAAACAGATTGATTCAGACAGAGACTCAGACAAAGAGAGATTCAGACAGAGACACTGAAGATTGATACCCTCTCCTGGAGAAATGAAAGTGAAGAAAGAATAAACAATTTGCAGTGACTTCAGAGTATTTGACTTAGCTACTTTTCTTCCTTATTCATTTGTTCATTCATTTGGTAATTTTTTTTTTTTAGTATCTAAAAAATGTTCTAGGCATTGGGGTATATTGGTGGAGGCCCAGGTAGGGAGATAAAGTAATTAAGACATGGTCCTGTATTTCCCCAAAATTTCAGGCTAATGCAGAATTCTTAGCTGGGCCTATGGTTGTGCTTTAGCGATTCCATTAACCTTAGAAATTATAGACAAATTGTGTGTGTGTGTGTGTGTGTGTGTGTGTGTTAGCATACAGTTTTAATCATATTCTTAAAGAAGTTTTATGGGTCTAAAAAAACATGAGGAATTACTGGTCCAATGAGAATGGTGAATAAATAGGTTTTTCACCTTTAATCAGAACCTGGCATGGGAGCTTGCCATCTGTGCTAACAAAGAATATAGGGGTGTGTGTGTGTGTGTGTGTGTGTGTGTGTGTGTGTGTGTGTGTGTGTGTGTGTGTATGGATAGACAGAGCCACAGAGTTTGCGCTGAACCTATAAGGTAATGAATTAATAGAAGTCCTGTTTTTGAGAAGAAAGGAAAGATGAGAGAGATGATCAAGATTGATACAGATAAGGGAAGGGGGAGGAAAAAAAGAAATGCTTTACTTTGGTACTAGAATTTTATGCTTTGGAGGTTTTCTCATTTGTTCATTCATTCATTCACACACTCATTGTTTTTGTTCTGAAGACAAAGCCTATGCTGGGGATCAGACCTCTGCCCACCCATCATTCCATCTCCTTCTTCACCACGTCTCTTGGCCCCGACATGACGGGGGACAGGCACACCTTGGCCAGGCCCAGTCGGGGCCATGAGGCTGATTCCTCTGCCTCCCTTGTAGGAAAAGAGATGGTGGATTACATCTGCCAATACCTGAGCACCGTGCGTGAGCGACGGGTGACTCCTGACGTGCGGCCTGGCTACCTGCGAGCCCAGCTGCCTGAGAGCGCCCCGGAGGCACCTGACAGCTGGGACAGCATCTTTGGGGACATCGAGCGTGTCATCATGCCTGGGGTGAGCTACAGTCATCACAAGAGTAATTCTGGATTTCAGGGCGTAGGAGGGTGGGCAGTGGGCCTGACGAAAGGTCCGGGACAGCCCTTCAGCCACTTGGCCAACATCTAAGCCCGACTTCTGGGCACGTGGAAGGCCGGGACTTTGACTGAAATTGGGTTTCTGATGCCAGGTGAACTGAAGTGTTGGGTGGGGAGCTAGAGGGCGTAAGGACTGCATCCCAGAGCCGACTCTGACAGAAAGGTGCAAATCTAATGGGATGAGGTGAGAAGTGAAAATTGGAAGTGAAGAGAAAGGACAAATGTGGATAGCAGGACGGAGAGAGGAGGCTGGAGATAGTCCCTGAAGCCCCCGTTGGTAGAACCAGGGACTCTTCTACAGAATTCTGAGGTACGCCAAAGGGAAGGAAGGAAGCCGAGAACTCGGCCCCCTGAGGGCACCCTGATGGGCAGGTTGGGTGCCTGGGAAGCTGAGTGAGACCCGGGAGCCCACTCCTTTCCCCTCCATGAGGTGGGGCCCATATCCTTCCTCACCAAGTGGAGGTCTTGTGATTGAGCTGATTGTCAGGAGCAGGAAGGGGCTTCCCCTGCATCATCTGTACGTCCAGTGACAAAGGGCACAACCTGGTGATGGCCAAGGGCCTGGGAACAGACAGAAGCTGGCTGATGCACAGGGCTTGAGCTGGGCCCATGGCCATGGGCTGTGACGTTGTCCCTGGCCACCAGAGTGGAGAGCTGTGCCAAGCAAGACATTCATATTAAAGCACACAAGTCTTCCTCCCACAGAAGAAAGGACTGCCTTTAATTGAACTCCATGCCACATGCCAGGCACTGTACCAGCCACATTACAGGCCAGCTCGTTTTATCCTAGTGACTCTATGATGCCTGTTTTATAGATGAGTAAACTGAGGCTCAGAGAAGTTAATTGTCTTCCCAAAGTCAGACTTTGTTCTGGCAGATCCAGGGTTTTACAGTAGGCCAGGCTTACTCCAAAGTCTCAGCTCTTTCTCCTCCACTGATATCTCTACCAGTGGGTGACTGAGGACCGTAGGGTGAGCCCGCGCACCCCGGCACTGCCCTGCAGGGGTGCTCCAACACAGGCTCTTCTCGTTCTCCCTGCCTGCGGCAGTGCTGTCCTGAACCACACGTGTCTACAGCTCTTCCAGAGGCCAACTTAAGATTTGCTTTAATTATTCCCCTAAAAGTGTTAGACTTAGATGTGACAGAAATATGCCTGGAGGCAAGGATGAGAAACGGCGCACTCAGAAAGTGATGGCAAGTTTGTACCAAGCCAAATACTCATCTCTCTCTGACCACTCAGCCTATTTCACATGCACTTTTGTATATCAGTAAATTTTCATATCAGTAAAGATTTACCAAGGAGACTAGCTCCCCAATAAGATTATCTCATGGATTTCATTCTGAAAAAAGTCATCTGCTGAGGGGCCAACTGTAATTTGGTAGTGACATGTAAGCAACGGTCAGAAGAGGTGGAAATGAGCTGATTCCTTTGATTGAAAGAAATTGAAGCAGTTGCTGGGAACGTGCGTGGTCAAAGCGGCTCGTTTCAGGACCCAGAGGTCTGTCTGTTTTGATAAAGGTTCCTTTGGCTTATCTTATCATGTTTATCTTAAAAGAACAGACAATTGCCTCCTGATAGGATCAGGAAGCGGAGCCCTTCTCTAGGTTTCCAAAACACTGTCACTAAGCACATCAATAATGAGGCCTTATCTTTCATTTCATCTGGCAGGCTGCAGCAGCCTCTGAGAGTTGACCTGAAAGCATTTGGCCCTTGGCTTCCTCATTTTGGTCAGCATCTCACTGGATTAATTCTGCCCTCCCTCCAATCCCTCACTACCTCCTAGACACAAAGAGGAAAGCACAAAAAAACAAAAAAAACTGTCTTTTTGCTTTAGTTCCAACTCTGGTTAGAAAAACCTCGTTTACTCTTCACGGAGAAGGCAGCACAGGGGGAGAAGGCAGGGTGCCATCCTGCTTAGGAGTGTGGGCTCTGGAGTCAGGTGGCCCTGGGGTTTCTGTCTTGGCCCCGTCTCCTGTCCCTCCAATGGGTGTGTAATCATGGGAACGCTGCCTCGCTCTCTGCCAGCCCCAGTTCTCATCTGTAAAACAGGGATAATGGTAGAGCCTACCTTATAGGGGTGCTGAGAGAATTAAATAAGACACATCCTGGAGACTGGAAGATATTGTTATTACCTAACTCCTGCCTGGTGACAATCAGAGAAAGAGGTCTGATTTTCTAAGAGTCAAGTCAGGATATGTGATGTGTCTATCGCCATGTGATTAGCTTATCGTTAATATTAGTGCTTTATATTTTACAAATGTCGTCCCAAGCCGATCCACACAGCAACCCCAGGAGACAGGATTTATTTTTTTATGAGAAACTGAGGATGAGAGAGAGGGCAGGAGAAGGTCTAGTTTTATAAGGTCTCAATCCTATACAAATTTTAAAATCCTCTCTAAGAAAAGAAAACTAAGGATGGAGTTCAAAAGAGACCCATGCAAACATGAGATCTTGATGCCTAAATTCATTAAGCTGCCTCATTGGCTTCACAGTACATCTACAAGGTAATACAGCTGGTGAGGGGCAGAGGTAAAACAAGAACCTGTGTTCTTGGGTTTAAATCTTATGCTGCTTCTACCATACACGCTGTCCACTGTCCAGCACACTGTCCTTACTCTTATGGGATAAAAGGAACTTGTGCCCCCGAAATAACTCGATGGTACACTAAGATGTTGTCTAATGAGTTTTCAGTAGGGTGAAACATCTAGAATGAGAGTGCGCCACGGGCTCAGAGAAGGGATGAAAGGGGGCTGGGGAAGGGTGTGTGGAGGAAATGAATATTTAATAGCTTTCCAAGCATGATCAGGTTTTGGAGGGTCCTGTCTGTATGAGAAGTGCCTTCCTGTCAGGCTTTACAGCATTGCTCAAAGGCGTGATTGCCCAAATGAACAGGGTTTGCAGAGCAGTGAGATGAAGCCAGATTAGATAATCAGTGAGACTGATGAGCCATTGAGGATGCTACAGAGACCTGTTATGGGGGTGGGGTGGTGGTGGTGGGGGTGGGGCAGGGTTCTCCCTGTCCACTCTGCTTCTTCTTACATCTGTTTTAATCTGAATATAGGCTCGGGGTTAGCCTGGAGGCAAGGGTCCCACGCCTTTGGGCTGGAACTTCTCCTGCCCTCTCCTCTCCTCTCTCCATCCCTACTGGGGAGGCTTTGAATCCATTGACACTGACCCTCTGCAGGAGCCATGTGCCCAGAGAGCTCAGCTGTCCATAAAACAAAGGATGCTTTGTGCAAGAACCTGGATGAGACATGCAACCTGCTCTCCCCAGGAGTCTCCCCTTCCTTGTATTACTGGGCAGGAGTGGTGTGGGAACTAATATGAATATTACCCAGAATCCACAGCCCTAATTACTATAGCAATTGTCATTTCACCTACTTTCTTCTGGTCTTTGCATATGTGCAAATGATCCACTGAAGAGCTAGCTTAGAATATGAGAAATGTGGTGGCAAGTGCACCATGAATATGTCTTATTTTTATGGAGTTGTGTCATTTATCTGGCTGTCAAAAATGTCTGCCCATCTCTAGACTGGGTGCTTCCCTTTGCCAGAGAGGGTATCTGGAGGACGAAAGCCTCCTGGACATGCCTCCTGGTACCACCTGTGTACATGCTCTGCCTCCAGGTGGTACATTGGCAGAGCCCCCATATGCACGCCTACTACCCCGCTCTCACCTCTTGGCCGTCACTGTTGGGAGACATGCTGGCCGATGCCATCAACTGCTTGGGATTCACCTGGGTGAGTAGCAGTGGCTGTAGCTGTAATCAGTGGCAACGGGGAACTTAGCAGGAATTGACATCCTGGGGCAGACACATTTTTGTCATGGTCTCTGAACAGGGTTCCAAGTGAAGTATTAACAACGGCTACATTCTTTGAACTTAAGCTTTATATGAATTATCTCATCTTTTACTTTAATCTCATGGGATCATGAGTATTGGCCCCATTTTGTAAGTGAAGAAATTGAGGCGTAAGTGACTTATCTCCTCAAGATCACACAGCTCAAAGACACAGAGATGAGATTTGGACTGAGATCTGGTTATTGCCACAGTTTGTGAGCCTAACTAAACACTTGGGTGCCTGTGGATACAACTTCCCCTGTGTTCCTGTCTTGGAGGGGTTAGGAATATGCCCTAAGATTTTCCTTAATAATCCCTTAAACGCCAATCAGCTTTAAATTGTGCCAGAAGCCTCCTAGAACAGCTTTATATTTTAAGTCCGAATTGTTATAGGGTATGTGTGTGGAGGGAGGCGGCGGGTGGAGATTGGCTATGTTTCCCAGGAAAGAGTGCTTTCTTTCTTAGTCCTAAGACTTCCCCTTGGCCTTTAGAATGCCTCTCAGCTGGGTATTTGAAGGACAAGGGGAGCCAAATGGAAGCAATCATTTCTAGGGCTGTTTCTCCATAGAGCCTTGGAATCACAGGAAAATCCACTGCAGGGAGGGTGGCGTGAGCCCAAAGCCCCACATTCTTTTCCCTTTTTGATTTGGCAGAGGATGGGGTGGGGTATCGATCCTTTTCTCCAGGGAGAAGATAGGTTAGGTTCCCACTGATACCCTGAGGGCCAGGGGAGCACCAGGACAGAGACAGATGCCTTCTGGGGCTGGTGGGGGGCATCTTGGTGCCCTGGAGCTATCTGGGTGAGGTTGCTTTCCCTCTTTCAGGCTTCTAGTCCTGCATGCACGGAGCTGGAGATGAACGTCATGGACTGGCTGGCAAAAATGCTGGGGCTCCCGGAGCACTTCCTGCACCACCACCCTGGCAGCCATGGGGGAGGCGTCCTGCAGGTACCTCCATTGGCAAAGCTTCCCCTAGCATTGGGGCTAAATACTGTGTTTCCCCCAAAATATGACCTAACCGGAAAATGAGCCCTAGCGTGATTTCTCAGGGTGCTTGTAATATAAGCCCTACCCCAAACATAAGCCCCCGTTAAGATCGTCAGCCAGACATGACTGTTTGAATAAATGTAGATTTTTGTACATGAATAAATGAATAAATATAGATTGTTGGAACAAAAATTAATATAAGACCCGGTCTTATTTTCGGGGAAACATGGTAGTTAAAGAGAAGCCAAACCCTTGCCTGGGCAATTCTCTTGTTCTCCAAGGAGCCTCCCCCATGTCCCTCACACCACCACCGTCACTGCCACCAGCACTGTCATCGCCGTTATTATCATGGTTGACACCACCATCGTGAACACTACCAGCAACACAGCCACCACCTCTTCCAGACACCACTCCCATCTCAACTCCACTTTGCCTAAGCTGCTGCCACCACCGTCTCCACTCTTCCTCCCTCATTTCTTTAAAAAGATTAAAAAACACAGAGCCGTCATCACATTTCCAGTATTACTTGGTTCAGCTTTCCTAGTTTATAATCTGACAACCCACCTCCCTTGTCCCATTATACACCTTATGATAACCAGAAAAGGGAAGCAAGTAGAGACTTCTTTCCCTCCCTCCTAAGTCCCAGGGATCCTTGGCAGTGAGCGAAATGAACAGCATAAATTACTTTCTCTTATCCTACAATGCTATCTTTTGGGTCTCTTGTCAAGTGATAGTTTTTCAAATATTTCTTTTGTGTTGTTAAGAGCAATGCCGCACCGTGGAGCGTGCTGGGTCCTGCCGTAGTCCACCCACATTGCTAGGTGCTTTTGCATCTCTGAACCCTTGTCATTCATGAGGGCTTGGTTTTGAGAACATTGAGAACCACTAAATTCTTGAATTCTACTGTAATGTGTAATTTTCCTGGTTTTCAAAGTCTATAAAGCCAGGGATAATAATATTTCCCTCACATCTCACACCCACAGAGTGGATATGAGGATTAAACGAATTCTATTAAATAAAAATAGCTGCACTGCCCTGAGGTGAGAACTGGAAAGTTCCATGGGTCCACTTGTTAGCTAAGTGGCAAGATTAAAATCTGAACCTCACAAGAAACACAAATTACTGCATGCCATGGACATTCTGGATTGTTTGCCAAGAGTTCAAACTTCAGATATTGTATCTGGGAGAACATGCTAAATGTCTACTGTACATGACCTTGCTTTTCATCCAATCATTTCAAGAACACTGTGGATAAATATTATCATCCCCAATTTTGGAGATAAGAGCACTGAAGCTCAGAGAGGCTAAAGACTTGCCGCAGGTCACACAGCTGGTAAGTAGAATGACAGTTAAACCCATTTGGCCTGTCTAAGTCCAAACCATGCTCTCTCCTGTATCCATCAGCCACGTGAACTTGGTTTAGTTCTGTAACCTCTCTGAGCATCACTATCCTCATCAATAGACAAGAATCACAAGAATTTCAGAGAGGTGTTATGAGGAACGAACGGGATGATAGAAAGTACTTTGTAAGCTATAAATGGCTATGCAGATGTAAGGCGGTATTATTATCACTATTCTGCTGGTATCATTGTTATGGAGTAATTTCCAGCCACTGAATATTTTGTGGGACCTGGTCCATACCACCCCATGTGACACTGTTTGCCAGGATTTTTATCAGAGAACTATCAGCTGTAGGTCAAAGACATTGAAGACTGAGTGGATGACTGATGAGAAACCATAACAGTTCCCGTGAGGCTGCTGAGGTGGCCCCCGGGATTCCCATAGTCATGGCCAGAGCAAAATCCTATCCAACCCTCATTTGGGTAATCAATACTCCCACTTCTGGAGACAGCTACAGGGATGTGCAGTTAAAGGGATGTGCTCCATTTTATCAATGGAAAAAAGCCTTCCGTTGGGAAAAATTAGCTCAAGGTAATAGGAATCATTGGAAACAAAATTGAGGTCGAAGTTGCCAGCCTCTCTCAAAGGTCAGGACCCTCTCTCTGGGGTATCCATGAGGAAATAAACTCTATTCCCACACCTAATAAATTGAGAGTGCTTCCTTTTAAGCATGTTTTATAGGGGGAGTGAACATACCTATAAGCAAACTTTTATCTAGCAGGGGCTAATCATTCGCATTTTGGTCTCTGTGGCCTTCTAATAAAAATGTTGGTATTAGGTGAAAATTAGCTTTCATTACTTCCCTAGAAAGTGAGGGAGGTGGACCAGGATTTCATAGGGTGCTGTGAACCGGGGATGCAGAGTAGGCATGTGAGCTGGGCAGGAGCTGTATGCTTTTTAAGGGATAGCTGGAGCTCTCTCTCTCTCTCTCTCTCTCTCTCTCTCTCTCTCTCTCTCT